CGTTAGGTGACATCTAAAGAGGAACAGGATGTGGAGAAGGGATGAGCCAGTAGTCCGGATATTGCCTCCTTTCCCCTGTTCCCGCCTACACACCCAGGGAAGGAGAGTCCCTCCCCAAAGCACAAGAGACCAGGTCTGGGAAACCTCCCAACAATCCATGATGGAAACTAGAAAAGGAAACTAATGTTTTGATTAAGCGAATATTTGAAATTATTTCATCCCAAAGAAAAATATCCCAATTAAAGTGCCAAGCGTTCAAAATTCACAAACAGAAAACAGATGCAACATGTGTTCAGTTTTAAATTGACTTGGGAATAACTCTCCTGAAACTGAGTGAGGACATATTTAAACAATATAATTCATAACAGAGGTTTGGAGAAGTTTCTTACAGGAGACAAAGGGGTATTATACACACATTTAGTTATCCCTAGAGTATGTGCATGTACCAAATGTAATAAATACATGTCTGCTCTTTAGCTCTGCAATTTCCACATGCTTTTTAAATGACTGAATTGCTGATTACATAAGACACTAAAATCTTTTTTAGAAATATATATGCTAGTAATGTTTTTAGAACCAAATTATAAAAATAATTAACTAGTGGAAAAATTTTTTTTCTACTTCCCTAGTTCAATGCTTTCCTGAAAAAATTTTCTGCTTCCTGATTTGGAAAATGAATTTGGAGCCAAGATTTACTTTCTCTTACAAAGGAAAACTTCAACAATTTTTTTTAATCCTTTACTCCTCTTAGGAAAATGAAGGTTATCACTCTTTACAAAACAAACTTCTCTGATAATTTCTTGCATTCCTTTTATATTAAGTAAAAGTGTTTGCGGGAGTAAAAATAGTTTCATGATATTAAAAAAATGATATCAGAATGGCTAAATTTCAGCCAATCTTCTATTCAAGTGGATCAAAAGTTTTAGCAGACCCATAAAATGCTCCCACATGTTTCTAACCAGAAAACTGATGGCGGATACCAAATTGTGACATTTTATAGTTACTACTGTCATCATTATTTTGTTTCTATTGTTGCAGTTGTTTTTGTGTTTCAACAAATGTGACTTCCCACATTTTGATGTGTTTTTTTAGCAATGGTTATCACATTCAAAACAAACTCACATAAAACCTATTCATCAAACAGATTGAATGCTTGCTATATAGAAAACACTCTACTGTGCTACTGTGAGCTTTTCATTTGAATTAAAATTTCAACTTTACATGTTAATTGTATTGACTGATTTTTAGAAGCAGTTTTTCAATGTGATTTTCTTTATTCTGCTTCCTCACTGTCCTCTTATGCAATTGTAAAGATAATTCTGTAATCCCAATTTAAAAAAACAATGGATGTAATATGTACATTGTGCATTCAATAAAATTATAAATCCTATTCTTAAATGTGTTTTAGCATTAAATGTTAAGTAAAGTTAAAAATATATACATATAGTATGTAGAAGAGACTGGGCTGTGGTGTAATACTGGGCTGTGAATGTGAACCTCTAAGGTATTATGATAGATTATATCATTGGCCCCAATTCCCTCACTGCACTCTTCCACCCTGAAAGCCATAGCCTTTACCACGCCACTTTGTGATGTCCTCCTGTAGTAAGCAGGGTATTATTCTCTCTCTTAGGCTTAGTCATATGAATTGCTTTGGCTAATAGAATAAGACAGATGTAATAGTGTACTAGCTTTGAGATTAGCCCTTTATCATGTTTCCACTTTCTCTCTTGCATCCCTATCATTCAAGAGAGGATATGCCAGGGATAATCCACAAGTGCCAGAAGAAGGAATTCAGGTATTAGAAGAAAGTTGCCCCACTTAAAGTACCTGGACAAACCAATTGAGACCAGTTGATACCAGTGATATTAGTTTGCCAAGGCTGCCATAACAAAGTACCATAGGCCAAGTGAGTTATTCAACAGGAATTTATTTCTCACAGTGTGGAGGCTGGAAGTCTGAACTCAAGGTGTTGGCAGGTTTGTTTCTTCTGAGGCCTCTTGGCTTATAGATGGCCATCTTTATGGTAACACAGTATTCTCCTTTTATGCATGTCTGTGTCTCAATGTCATTTCTTATCAAGGCCACAGTGATAACGAATTACGGCTCAGCCCAATAACCTCATTTAAGTGTTATCTCTTCAAATACCCTCTCTCCAAATATCATCACACTCTGAAGTATTAGATATTAGGATTTCAACATATAATTTTGGGGGACCACAATTTAGTGCATAACCACTCAGGCTCAACCTAGCTAAGTCAGTCCTCAAATGTCCCACAGACTCATGGGCTATAATGATAAACTAATATTTTAAAGCACTGAGTTTTTAATGCTTTCTTATAAAACATTAGCTTAAGCAATATAGTACAAATAATATGATTAAATATATAAATAACTATTGAGTGGTAAGATTTTTAGAAATTAAAAATGTTTTCTTTAAGATTATTGCTACACAGTTTTATAAAGCTAGCTGTATTTTTCTGAATGTAAAGCAATATTTCCCATTATTATAAAAGCAGAAAATATATTAAATATAAAAACAAATTTTGCTTCTAATCTGCCTCCCACCTCATCCATGAAAAATTGTGTTTTATACCTTCCAGTAATTTTCTTTTTTATAAACACATACTCATCTTTGAAAATTTTACATATATTCTTATATATTTTTACAAAAGCCATTATGCATATTTTAAACTTTTTTTAAACAAATTATTTTCAAGAATATTCTTCTTAATAAATATAGAGCAGGGTTTGGGGATGTTGCTCAGTGGTAGACCACTTGTTGATCATGCATGAGGCCCTGGATTAAAGCCCCAGCACTGGAGAGAAAAATAAAAATTAAAATATAAATAAATATAGATTTACATCAAAATTTATGTTTTATTACCTATTATTTAGATTGCAATTATTTCTCATAATTACCTAGTATTTTTCTATTTTAAAAAGGTTGCAATAGTATTTCTTTCTAAAATGCTTTGAGATTTGGGATTGAAAAAAGTAAAATACATGTGGAGACTATTACTAACTATAGTTTTCTGTAAGATTTCAACGTTGACCAATTTTACATTGATGGCTTTAACAAAGCTTAAAGATGATAATGTGTTTGTCCTTGTTGTAAAGTTCAGTGCATGGAAATAAGGATGATAATAATAGCAGGCTGGTAGTTTCATTTCATTAAACATTAACTCAATATTTATTGAGTCCTCTACAACGTATCTAAAATTGTCAAGTTCACATAATAGGTGATAAGAGAGGTTCCATGTAAATGTTCAAAAGAAACGCATTTGCTTCCCTAGGTTTTTAAATTTTCTAATAGATAAACTATCTTAAGAGCAATTGATATTCTTGGCTTTTTTTTTTCTGCATGAGAAATAAAATTCTCATTTTTCTAAAAAGAGGATACATTCAACAATTCTGAATATCCTAGGCAAGTGTTTTCTGAGAAGGTTTTCAAGTAGTCACTGACTTTCTCCTTGAGTTCTGGCTGCTCATCTGTTCATTTGGGGTCTAGTTTCTTTCCTGCTCTCTGCCATCACAAATCCACCAGCCTGGCCACAACAGGAAGTCAATGCTGATCACATGAGGATAACTGCTACCTCTGCTGAATGAATGCACCACGGATGGCTACACCACTGGCATTGTTGATCCTACAGTTCTGGAGACCCCACCTTGCTTGTGACTTCTGCCAGAGCATCTTTACCTCTGGAAAAATGGTGACATTCTCATCTAATTTTTACTCCAGAATGAAAGGCCACTCATTGTGTCAAATAATGCACTAAACAGGAGCATTTTTCTTTGAAAAATTGGAAACCTCCTGGAAGGAAACAATATTTTTATCTAAGCACACTGAATTCAAATCAGTGTGATCCAGGAATTGTGCAAATTCCATGCCAACCTACTTTCTTCACTTTCATCAGTAAATTTAGAAAGCACAGATTAGTGTAGCTATATTGAGTCTTTATTTCATTTAATGCTTGTAGCAATGCTCTGTGCTTTCAATATTAGGTTTCTAGGAAACAAATACTCATGCTATAGGATTATGAAAATGACAATTGTAGTTATCCCTATAAACACTCAAAAGTATGAGACATACAAGAATGAGACTAGGAACCAAGAGGTACACATATTTTCAATCAAGAGACAAATTCTGGGCCAAGAGGGAGGATCAGATTTTATACTGAAAGATTTGTTAACAGACTAAATGTAGGAAGCGAGAGAAAAGGTGAGAGTAATAATAGCAGCAGCAACTGTAATAACAACAGTAACAACAACTAGAGATTACTGAAAGCTTCCTATTGTCGAGCATCACACGAAGTAAAATATCTGCATTACCTTGTTTCTTCTCTACAACATCATGGAGGCAAATGTTATTAGTTTTCTAATCATATTATTTCCATTTTTCTGGTAAGAAACTTGAGACACAAATCTATTAAGTAGCTTAAGTTATTAAATGACAGAGCTGCAATTTTTACCAGGGCATAGGCTCTTTCTGTACTCTACTAATTAACAGGCATTTCTATTTGATTGTTCCATTATGTACTGTCAAGTTATTACTACATAAAAATAAATAACAATAAACACTTATCTAAGTAGTGGAACAGTTGTTCAAGGCTATTTGAGGAGGACTGTCATTGTAGAGCACTAAGACTCAGGCCTGTCAATGGAGTTTATCATTCCCATTACAGCTGTTGCTACATTTCCATAATTAGACCTTTGGAAACTCATGGTGAGACAGTATTTTTGAGGAATTGCCATGAGACTTTTGCACGGTTTTCCATTGACCAAATATATTGCACATGCAGAATATACCCTCTACCTTGCAGATCCTGGCTTATCCTGCATGATGTGCTTCACTATTCACACGTTCTATGTGAATCCTTTCCAGTCCTGCTTCTTAGGCCCCCATTTGAAGACTTCCTTTTGCTACTAATCATCTCCACTTGGCTCATTCCAGAATGTCTCTAGTGCTGGCTGTAGTATCATTGGCCTCTGGAGAATGGTGTCATCTCAGTGCTCAGATGACGACACATGCAGCAATGCAGGCAGCCAGGGAGCTGGAGGAAAAGGGCAAAAGACAGGGTGCTACTCTCTTACCTGCTTTGTCAGGTCTGCAGGAGCTGCACCCTTGGGAGCACAGCAAGCTAACCAACCAGTCATGAGGGAGGAAGTGGTTTCTGTTGCAGCTCTAATGAAACTTCAGAGTGATGAATAGCATCAACATTTCTTATTGATGCGGTGTCTTCACTCATCTATAACCATATTGGCTTTTCCATGTTGTGAGTCTAATAGAGGATTTGGTGTAAGCATTGCATGGCCAAGTAATTAAATTAATCTTAGCCTCCTCATTAAGGCTAGTGAGGTTTGTCATACCTGGAGTTTTCACTAATTGCAGAGGAGTCTCCCAAAATGTATTGTCCTTTGTCTTTCTGTGAAGCTGGGTAGTAATTAACTATAAGTAGAAACTTTATGGTAATAACCCCCTGCTTTCCACAGAAACAGACTCTTCACTTGCTGAGGGCCAAGAGAGCACTGGCTTGGCTGCCAGACCCCAGAACTGCTACAGGATACACTGAACAAAGGTAAGCCTTTAAAGCCACAGTCACGTGCCTTGGCCTGGACCTTCATGCATGTCTGAAGTCACGTGTGGGGGCTTAGAACTTTAAAAAATTCCCCAAGAGAAATGCTCTGCTGTGAAAAACAGAAACAATCTCTGTCTCACTAGGAATTGTTAATAATTAATTATTCATTGAAATATGCAAATTATTTTCTATTGATTTATAATATGTATACCAATGTTCCAAATAAATGGCTTTATGTTTCTCTTTTACTTAATATTTTGAATATAGTATATAACACATTCATGTAATTCAAAATTTTAAAAATTTAGCATATAAGCTTTCCTATCTCAATTTCTGAACTCTTCCTTACTACCTTTACTAAATACTATTTTCAATTTCTTATGTTGTTGCAGATAGTTTTAATGCACAGAGAAGTAAATACTAACACATACACACATCTTTTTTAAAAATAAATTTTATTGTGTATATTTAAGGTATGTGATAAAACATCATGGGGTACATACAGAAAATAAAATGGAGACTACAGTGAAGCAAATTAACATATCCATCATCTCACATCAATACCCATTTTTTGTTTTTGTGGCAAAAATAACTAAAATCTACTTACGTAGCATAAATCAAAACACAGAATAGTTTTATTGCTGATCATCCTCATGCTGTGCAGTAAATATCTAGATATCTACTGTCCATCCCACGTATCTGCTTCTCAGTATCCTTTGACCCACACCTTCCCATTTCCTCTTCATCTATCACCCCTGTCCATGTTAACCACTGTTTTATTCTCTATTGTTGTGTACTTTAATTTGTTTTTCCTTAGCTTCCACATCCAAGTGAGACTGTACAATAGTTTTCTTTCTATGTCTGGCTTATTTAACTGAGCATAATGTCCCCTAGGCTCACCTATGTTATGACAAATGGCATTATCTTTTTCTTTTTTAGGGCTGAATGATATCCCATTGTGTATGTATAATTGTAGAAATACAAAAGTCTACCTTCTAACAAGGGAAAATTCACAATGTCTGACTAGCAGGACAATATGACCCAAAATGAATAGAAAAACAAGCAATAGAGAAGAACTGATAAATTACACAGATGATAAATCCAAAATAAATAAGGACATTAGAACAGTTGTTACAGCTATGTTTCTAAAAATAGAGGAAAGATTAAACATGATGTTAAAGACATATAAAAACCACATAGAACTATAAGAGATGAAAAATACATTGTCTATAAGGGATGAAAAGTACAATGTCTGAGATGAAAAATAACATGGGATTAAGAGCAGATTAGAATTAGCAGAGGAAAAGGTTGCTGAACTCAAAGACATAGCAATTGAAACTATTTAAAATGTAACATGAAGAGAGAAAAAGTTGAAAAATATTAGAAAATGCTTCTGAAGGCAATGTTACAAGAAGTATAATAATCAAATAATTAAAACCAGTGATAAAGATAAAAATCTTAAAAGCAGTGTGAATTGGGAGACAGTGAGTCCACATCTTTAACATTCTGGAAGGGAAAAAAAACCAAAAAACCTATCAGTTAGAATTCAATACCCAGCAAAAATATCTTTCAAAAGCAAAGCCTATTCAAGACTGTTTTAAGGATCAAGTTAAAAATATCTGCTTCTTAAAAAACTGAAAGAAATGAAACAAAATGGAGAAAGTATTTAGAATCCATAGAGCCATGAAAAAGTAATCTCCAGAATATATATGAATCAAGAAGCAAAATGACCAGACTTAAATAGGCACTTTATAAAAGAATTAAAATGGCTGATAAATATATTTAAAGGTACAAAAATCTTCTTAGTAGCTAGAGAACTGCAAATTGTAATCATACCATCAAACACCTATCATATTTGGTCAGAAAGGGAAAGCCCACATTTTTTTTTCATTTCTTTTATGATTTATGAAAAGAGAAAAAACATTTCTTAATATTTTTCCATTTAATAAGAATAGATTCTCATTCATTAATAATCTCATGATAACAATATATAAAAATGATTGAAGTAGTCTACACAAAAAATGCCTGTAAACTGGCTTCCTTATTCATGAGCTGTTAGATGTCCTAAATTAGAACTGATGAGTTAGAACATTGGATAAATCAAATTACATTGAATTTTATTAATAATGTTGGCAGTTGTAAAGCTAGGATATTGAAAGGAATATTCTTAATCTGGTAATTAAATTTGAAAGAATTTTTATAATAATTGCTTTGTATTTTTCCAGCTAATAAATTTAATGAGAAGAAAGAAGGAGATTGTGGTTTCACTGTACGAGTACATCTTATTAAAAATAACCATTGTTATGTTTGAAAGGGAGAAAATTGAAAATACAGAGTATGAACTATCTGTTGTTTGTTTCTTTTTCCCTTGTTATGCTTCTGGGAGTGCTTGGGATATAGAAAGTTGTTCACAAATGTTTGCTGGATAGAATTTTGATGTACCAAAACATTTTGGGTTATCTTTAGAAAAGACAGGAATAAACCCCAGTTCAGGTGCTAAATTCCTTGACCTTCACCTTATATCATCTGGCATATTTATCAATATCAACCTTTATAATTGATTGCCTTCAAAATTCAAAGAAATTAAAGTGTTGGGGAGTGATATTGGTCAAATTACACTGTTATATTGTATGCATATACAAATATGTAACAACAAATGCCATCATTATGTGCAACTATAATGCACCAATTTTAAAAATGAGGGGAAAAAACATAAGCTACAAGTAAAATCCACCAAGTGTATATTTAACTTTAGGTTTACCTTAAAACCCCAAATAAGTTCCATTCTACTCAGGAGGATGGAAAATCAATGCTCTAGGGTATAAGAATGATCAATATTCAGTGGAACCAATGATGAAATGCCCACTAGAAAGACAAAAATAAGGTGGCAAAATTCTTTTCTATAACTTTTCAAGTAATATGTGTATATAGTTCAAATGAAACAATCCACTCAACATTTATTGAGCACCTACTATAGGACCAATACTGTGGCACATTTTAGTCTTAGTTTGATCTTTATAGTAATAACAAAAGTGCATCTATCCTAAATTAGAAGTGTTGGATTACAACACTAAGTAAAATTAAAAGTGCTAAGTTAAAAACAGCATTCATCTTAATACAGAATGGAATAAACCATGAAGGCAAATCACAACATTTTGGATTCTCCACCAATTGCTTTAGTAAGGACCAACAATTTGACAGTCATCTAGAAGCAGAATGGACTGAATGCTCCGGCGTCTGCATAAGGACTCAGTTTTGTGCTCATTGGAATTAAGCTTAGTAGTCCTCACATTTTGGGATATAAAAGATTCACAGTACCAAATTGTATTTACAAGACCATGTTTTGTCTGGATGATTTTAAGAACAATTTAAGTGCTTTTCAAGAGTAACTCTGATTACACACTATTTTTAGCTTCACTGTTCACTTTGGGCCTTACCTTACCCAAAGATGCAATTCCACCGAAAAATTGTGCCAAGGTAGGCAGCTGGATGGGATTTTAATTAAGACCAGAACCTGAGAATGGACAGTAATGGACTGGGAAAGCTGCTTGCTCCTGAATCTAGCCATATTATTTTCATCATTTCATCATTTCTGACCACTGTTACTTCTGGTGACTAAAAACTACTCTGACAGTTTTTTACTTCCAAAGGCACAAACCTTTTCAGAGCTAGGCTCATAATTGCTTAAGTTGGCTTCAGCTACTCTTGCAGTCTACCTTGATCATCTTAAAGGCAGAACTTGTAAGAGGGAGTCACTTGATGCTTTGACTTTTGGCCTTGAAACTTAAATTTTTTTTTCTTTTTCCCAATCTTCTTTTCCCTAAACTTCTCCTCCCTGATCTCCTTTTCCCTAACCTCCTTCTTGATCTCCTCTCTGATCTTCTTTTCCCTGATCTTCTCATTCCCTATCTCTCCTCCCTAATCTCATTTTCTCTGAATCAACTCTATAAAAGCCCCCTGTTCCTGTGGATAGGCAGAATCACAGCCTTTGGGACAGGAGTCCCATGTGTTTCTCCTCTGCTAGCAAAGAATAAACCTCTTTCCTTTTCTCAAGATGTTGTCTTTGCTATTGGGTTGGCATCAAGGACAAGGACCAAGCCTTTGGTTACAAGCTGAGGTCTACTTCATTTCTGTACCTTATTATGACTTGTAAGAGCTTAAAGTTTTTTTAGTGAATAGAAGAGGAATTTAATAACATTTTTCTAGAAGTTCAGATGAAATGGCAGATGTAAAATATAAAGCAGAACACTTGACACATAGTAGACACTGAAAATTGGTCTTTCCTTTCATTTCCATTTCTCCCACCCCCACCAATGCCCTCCACACAACTGCTTTCACCTGACCCTGTCCCCTTGTGTAAGAGGCAAATTCAGAGGAATTTGCAGAGGGTGACCTCTTCCTGTAAGGAATGATGGGACTCTGATGTGAAATGCACGTTTTAAGAGAAATAGACTCATCAATGAGGACTTTTTATTAGTGATGACCTCATTTCCTTGGAACACTTGTAATAAATTAGCTTATTCATTAATTATGTGATAATTGCTTTTGGTTATAGTCTGAAACTCAATAAACACTATTGAAAACTGCTAATTACAATTATAACAATAATAGACATTGAGATCAACCATGAATGTTATGGAGCCTACTCAATAACAAGCGATAAAAAATGTTAAAGTGCAAATTCAGTTCTAGGAGAAGTTAACTTATTAAAATCATTTAAATATAAATGCATGGCCAATTTGAACAGCAAAGACTATTTTGACCACCAGAGGGAGCTCACACTTTTAAAAACCCCAAGTTTTCACAACAGCCACTCCAAGTTTTTAAATCAGTAATGATGTTGTCCTGAGTTGGTTTTGGAGGCTTCTTATACTACCAACATGCCAAAGGGATGAGTAAGTGGCAAAAAAAATTGTTAATCGATGTAAATATATTCGAAGTGGCTACAAATGTTTTAAAAGATGATTTTGGATCATATATTGTGAAATTATGAATTTAATTTAGTTTTTATTTTTTGCCCCAAACATAGTATTTTTAAGATACTTTTAAAAGCCATGTTTCCCCCAAAAGTGATAGCTGTGGAGTTAACTTATTTTGTTTTCAAGGAATATGGGAGTCTGGTGTCATAATTTCATCACCATATGCATATAAAGTGAATAAGCTCAATGCCACTGCCACAGCCTGATTTATAGGTTCATTGCTCTTTCCCTGGATGGTCATGATAATCTCTTCATTGGTTTCTTCACCCTCCTTGACAACGCCTGTGTAGTGTCTCCCCAAATGCAGTTAACTTTATTCATCACTTTCAGACTAATTTGGGGGTGCCGGGATTCAACCAGGGACTCACACATGCTAAGCACACTGAGCTGTGCCCCTAGCCTCCAGGCTAATTTTCATAAAACATGTTTTTGATCACATTACTTTTCTGCTCAAGAAAATAAATCAACAAACTAACACTTGGCATTAAGATCCAACTTAATACTCCCCTCTCTTCAGGCCAACCAGCTCCAGGCTGGAATAACCCTCTCTCCCTGTCTTTCTGAGTTCCCATGGCACTTCTGTTCTTATCTCCTTACTCCTTTATGATGTAATTGCTTGTGAACATGTTTTAGACCACCTCCAAAATCAGCTTCCTTAAAGTCACAAGTCCTTGCTCAGAAACCAGTGGGCAAGCTTGTCTTAGCAGGTAGCTTGATGGTGAAGGCCAGCTCAAGAGACTCCAACTTGGGAGACATTCTGAGGTGGAACTGATGAAACTGGAAGTTCTAGCTGCATAAAAAAGCCACTCAGAACTTACTGACTCCCATTAACAGTTTATTATTACTCAAGAGTCTGAGGGTTGACCAGACTCATGTAATTCTTACTTGGAGGCTCAAATGCAATTACAGTTAGGTGGTAGCTAGGCTGTTCATCTGAATGCTCCACCAGGCGGAAGGTCCAAGATGGTTTCTTCTACATGTCTGGCCACCTGGCCCAGGATGGCTGAAACCTTTGAGCACGGACCAGGTATTTTACTCTCAATCTATGGCCCCTTATGGCTAGCTCGGGCTAACTCAAAGCATGGTCATCTCAGATTGGACTTCTTACATATGGTCTGGCTTTCCCTGGAACAAACATTTCAAAAATCCAGGTGGCATTGTCCAGACTTCTTATGCCCTGACCTTGGGAATCACACAGCATTACTTCCTCTATATACCACCAGCCCAGATCCAATGTGGGAAGGGATCTGGAAATACTGGAAACCATAATTCCCCATTAGGCCATCTTTGAAGCCTACCTACCTTACCTGCTGACAATTTCCATGAGGAAAATATCTTTATTTGAAATGTGGAAGGCAGAAGCCAAAAGTAGGCCAACCAGAAGTGTTGGAAAAGATCAGGGTGACAGAAACTTTTTTTTGTTTTTGTACCAGGGATTGAACCCAGGGGTGTTTAACCACAGAGCCACATCACCAGCCCTTTTTATTTTTTATTTTGACACAGGGCCTCACTAAGTTGCTGAGCTGGCCTTAAACCTATGATCCTCCTGCTTTTGCCTCTCTATTTGCTGGGATTACAGGTATGTGCCACTGTGTATGGCTAGAAACTTAACACAAAAGGTATGGTTAGTCACTTGTTTAATATAAATGTGGACATTCTTTTATACTCTTCTCATGGAGGGGTAGGATCTATGTTCTTTCCCCTTGAAACTGGACAGAACTTTCTGTTTTGTCTAACAGAGTATAGCAGAATTGATGCTATGCAAATTCCAAAACAAAATCCAAACAGGTGATGCATTTTCAAACTTTAGCATCTGGGAAATCTGACTTCCTTGAGACTACCATGCTATGAGGAAGCCCACACAGCCTGTTCAGGAGACTATATAAAGAGATTTTGAGACCAGATGAAGAAAGAAGGACACCTGTGAAGACTTTCCCAGGATCCTGACCCACAGAAACTGTGACATAGAAAAATGTGTGTATTCAGGTGACTTCACACGTAGCAATAAATAACTGAAACAAATGGATTGAGAAAACTTTGCATTGAATGACAACATGATCTGCCTGCCTGTTCATCTTTGAGCCTTTGTTTCTAACAAGGTAAAAACTTCCATTATAGAGCTCTCATTACCCATCTGTTCCCTTCCAGAGATACTTGCTGAGGCCTGCCTGACAAAGCCTGCAACCTTTGGTTCTGCTGCTGCACCTGCAGATGCATGTGATGACTGCTATGGGTCCACCTCACTTCTACCACATCTGAGCCAGTTTCCAAGCAGGAAACTTGCTGGGAGTTGAGATTTAGATACTACCCCCTGGTACTCCCTGACCAATTTTAGATGTCTCTTCTAAGGAAGAAAGACTATTGTAACTCCTGGAAGCCAAGTAGATAGAGTCTTCCAAAACACTGTGGCCATTTTCCTCAGCTCATGATGACTTGCCAGGGCCAGGGCCAGCCTGCTGTCCCCACAACCCACTCATCCAAGCATAATTTCTCAGCCTTCCATCAGTAGGTCTCCATTCATCTCATTCTATCCACACTGAAGCAAATTAAAGCCATTTTCTTTTTACCTCTATTTATAAGGAGTCTGACTCATAGTCAGGTAGGGAAGGGGAGCAAGGGAGCAACAGACAACTCTAGGTAAGGTAGAGGGGTGGGGGTTATGGGGTTAGAAATGATGGTGGAATGTAATGGACATTATTATCCAAAGTACATGTATAGAGACATGAATTGATGTGAATATACTATGTATACAACCAGAGATATGAAAAATTGTGCTCTATATGTGTAATAAGAATTGTAATGCATTCCGCTGTCCATATATAAATAAAAAATAATACTACTAATAATAATAGACCAAGGGAAGGGAAGACAAAGGAAAGAAGGTAAGGGTCAAGAGACAAGACACTGGCATGTGCAATGAGACCAGGAGCTCTGGATGTGATCCGATGAGGTGAGATGTGAATGTGGTCATCCCCTGTAAAGGAATGGGTGAAGGGACAGAAATATTGAATATACCCTGTTATTCATTTATCATCATCATTTGGATTTGATATGGGATGGGGACTGGGAATTCTTGGTCTATTTGCTCTAGAAAGATGTTTAGATTTTCTCCCATGGTTTTCAGCAGGTAGAAGGAGTCAACTGGGGGCACTAGAGAACCAGCTCTATGTATCCCTAATGGTCCTTCTTGGATGAAATTGAAGGCTATATTAAGATTTAGGGTGAGCAGGTAGGATGGAGAAATAACTTCAGATAAGGTTTTTTTTTTTTTTTTTTTAAATATGTTTTTAGTTGTAGATGGATACAATACCTTTATTTTATTTATTTATTTTTATGTGGTGCTGGGGATCGAACCCAATGCTTCACACATGCTAGACAAGTGCTCCACCACTGAGTCACAACCCGGGCCCAGATAGGTCTTTTTCACCCCTGTCTTAGGCTGAGTATGGAGTGACTGGTTTCTTTAGCTTTTGATGCTTTTTTTTTTTTTTAACTCACTTAAAGGTTAAAGACTTGAAATGGGTCCTGTAACAGAAAAGCCTGGGAGGAAATAGTGTTGGCATGGTGGGGTGAAGCCAAGATTGGAGGGACGCCAGTGCCCAGGCCCGCATGGATTCCTTTTGTCCTTCTCCCTGGCTAAATATTGTCTCTGAAGCACAGTAGAACATTCTTAAGGGAAAATAATGTCCGCTGACCTCATTCCAAGAAAATCAGTAACAACATCCAGTCGTCTTTAAGAGGAAAGACGCTGACACTGGGAAGAGACACTACATTTAGAGAAAGTGCCAGAGCTAAAAGTCACTTTCAGACTCCCCAGTGGGATCTGGGGGCCTTCAATAAACAAAGGCTCTGGTAGGAAGGAAAACGGGGAATCAGCAGAGGGCTGGTAGATTGCAGCAGAGCAGGGACAGTTGCGAGATGAAGACCTGGGCCCAGGGACCCCTGGTTCTCTTCTCCAACAACCCTTGGTCCCTTTTTTATGAAGCAAGGTTTCAGAGGCCACTCTCTGGCCTGGGTGACTTGGGTACGTCTGGAACTTTCTAGGTATCCGCGAAGGCAGGTTTTGCACTTGTATCTGGGGGAAAATCGGAGGTGCTGAAAGCAGTGGAGATGAAGGGTACCAGAGACCGTCTTGCCAAGTCCTTTCCCAGGCTTTCTGATTCTCTAAGAATGAGGAGAATGCCTCGTTCTGTTTCCTGCCATCAGTGGAGCCCTGGCTCAGGAGGAGGGAGAGTGCGCATTCTGAGAAAACAAACGCACAGGAGAGAAGGACCAGAAGGAGGAAGTGCCAGCTAGGAAACCCCAGTCCTGCAGGGATCCGCTGCACAGTTCACTAGCGAACTGCTTCTCGCAGGAAGTAAGTGAAGCACAAACAGGATCTGAGCGAGGTCGCTTGTTTGGGAATCCAGGAGGCCAGGGCGGGGCAGCGGTGCTCGGGTGCTGCGGCGTCAGCGCCCCGCAGCGCCTCCCAGCGCCCCCGCCGTTGTGCAAAGCCCCGCTGAGCCCCAGCCGTGGGGCGGCTCAGCCCTCATGGAATTTCTGATCCCAATGTCAGTTACCTTCCTTGGGAGCTGCCTAGCGGGTGTGATTTCCTACGGGAACTTATGTGGTATGTGTAGAATATTTTTGCTCAGTTTTAAACGTGATCTACTGGTTTCCTATTTTATGAAAATGCCATTGCCTGAATTGATTATGATTCAGTGTTTTTTCGACTAACTTCTCCAGTATGTGAAATGTAATAACCAGCCTGAGCCTGCTGGCTGAAGGCTCATCCTTCCATTTTAGCTGAACAGTGGATAACCAGAACTTTCTTATGGATGGTTTTAGGCGTTAAGATGTGAAGAAATACCCACGGGGCTTTATCACTTGGTATTCAGTACCAGTAGATTACTGAATTTAGGTATTAAAAAGAAAGAAGAAAAATAACATAGGTTAAGACGTCAAAAAAAGGCATCTCGCTCCCAGTTTTAAAAAATGGGGACTTGTGCCTGGTGCAGTGGCACCTGCCTGTAATTCTAGCAACTGGGGAGGCTGAGGCAGGAGGATCATAAGCTTGAGATCAGCCTTAGAAATTTAGCAAAGCCCTAAGCAACTTGGACACTGTCTCAAAACAAAAAATAAAAAGGGCTGGGGATGTAACTCAGTGGTAAAGCGCCCTTGGGTTCAATTCCTAATGCCCCCCACACACACACACACACAAAGAGGACTTCTTTCTTAGGTAACACTTCCCACTGTTCCACAAAAGTTGGTGCCTTTCATTTGACTTAACTCATCCCATTTCTATTTTCCAGATCTCCAGTGTAAACAGAATTCATCAACTAAAAAAATGAGGGGAAAAATCAAACACATTGATTAAAAACAAACAAAATTTTAAAAATTAAAATAAAACCCTTCTTCTAAAGACTTTTTGAGTGGCTTCAGCTTGTGCTCACCAGATAGCTACTACCTTCTCTGGCTTTCTTTGCTCTGAGTACTCTGATAAGCTACATTGCTCTCTTGTGTGCCCCTAGAAGGGGGGATGGGAACACCTTTATACAACAATGGGGTTGGGGTCAAGGAGCAAAGGGAATGGCAGCTTTCCAAGTTCAACATGGGCAAGTTTTTATCCCAAGGAATTTACAGACTGCTTCCGCAGCACAATGATACTACAAGATACAGCACAATGATTTCTTTGCATGCTTCCTGCACATTCCACAGAGAGGACCTGGATTTGGGATGACCTGTTTTGACATTTTCCTTACACTTTTTTTTGTTCTTGTTTGATAATCTAACTTGAACTTCTCTTTTGGAAACAATCACCTGGCAAGGATTAATCTTAGATAGCACTGGGGAGTCACTAGACACAGCTGGGTTCTTACATGGGTAGAATTGTCTCTTTTAAATGGAGTGCCCTGCAATGATTGGTGGGAATTCAGCTGACTGTGGAACAATCCTTTTTGCACAGCTGTTGGTCAAGGCAGTGCTTCATCAAAGTGATAGAAGCTGCAATAGAAATTTATGACGATTGAATATCACTTAACAAAATGTGTCAAATGACTTTATTTCCCTCCTTTATCCCATCTACTCTGGAAGCCGAGGCATGAGGATTATAAGTTCGAGTGAAGCCTGGGCAATTTAATGAGACCCTTTCTCAAAATAAAAAATAGAAAGGGATGGGGATGTAGCTCACTATTGAGTAATTGCTTACCATGTGCGAGGCTCTCTAGTCAATCCCCATTACCTTAAAAAAAAAAAGCTATATTTCTATATTTGCTTTCATTGGAGACTCATAATATAGATTTAAGCTGCCCAATTTCAACCACTAGAGAGGCAAGCTGAACTAGATACTTCTAGTCCACTCAGTGGTTAATGATCTGTACTGAGAGCTTCCAGAAGACTAACTATTTGGTGCTTATCCAGCAGTGTTATGTTCTAATGTTGAAGGAAAACACAGCTACTCTTGATTTACTTAGAAACTGTGTGGTAGTCTCCAGTATAGTGCCTTCTAAAATAATTTAACATAAATTTCAGCTCTGCATGGTTTCTATTACACATACATAAGACATGATTCCACATGGGCATATAGCAATATTCCAGGTCTGTCTGAATGTTAGTAATAGGAATTTATTTGTATCAGGACATGTTTGGATAAGCTTCCAGAAAGTCCATTGGTATGAAGGCTCAATTAATTTTCCAGGAGAGATAATTGTTGATATATCAGGAGTCAAAGACTCATCCCTCCATTTCCTGAGCTTGAGAGAGAGGTAACGTGATTGTACCATTTAAAAATAAGAGTGTCATCAGCAACTATTCAGCTAAAGGATATTTTATTGGATATTTTTGGTTTAGCATTCCATTTTCTAACCTACTGCAAAGTGGACTGGAAAATTAGAAAAATGTATGCCCAAGATTATTTGTTGAAGCATTATTTGTTCATCAGCAACAACTCAAATGTCCATTAATAAAGAATCCTTAATTATAATATATCTCCAGAGTGGAGTATTATACAGCTATAAAAGAAATGAATAATATCTTAATATACCACCATGGAATATTTCTAGTATATGTTGTTAATAAATTAAATGTTAATATGAGATCACAAAAACTCAGAACAAAAAATGAAAAATATAACTGAATTATATATTGAGTTGATGGTATACTTCTTCAGAAGGGAAATATTTAAAGTGTCTTTAAAATCCAAGAGTAGACTAATGATCCCAAATGGGATAAACCCTTAAAACAAAAGGAACTGCAGAAGAAACCCACAAAACAGAAACAAAACAAAACAAACTTCAAATGTTTTCAGTAATTATATTGTTGAAAGTTTGCTATTATTATTCTGAGGATATTTCATGTTTCATGGGATAAAACAAGTGAACTATTACGTAGGCATTGTTGGGAACTAGGATTTGGGGTTGTAAAACAGATGTAGACATAAGTAAGATTTTTAAAAAGTGCTGTACTCTTGAATTAGAATTTGAATCAGAAACTTTACTATAAATGTGATATTTTATCTATGTCTCTATTTGTCCATTCTTTCTTCCTTCCTCCCTTTCTTCTTTCTTTCCTTCCTTCCTTCCATGCATCCATGCA